CCCTTTTGCCCCCTTCCCCCCTTCCCCCCCCTGAGAAAACCCCTTGCAAATGTCTGCCGGCAGCGGGGACCGCAGTCTGGTGAGCCTCGGGAAGGACCTGCACCGGCTGTCCCGGCACCTGGACACCACCTCCCGGCCCCTGGCGCAGCGGATCAATGACCTGGCGGCCACATCACTTGCCGGGCTGGAGTCGGTGCTGCATGCGACCGACGCTGGCTCGGCCGATGCGGCCGGCTTGGCCGACGCCAGCCTGGCCGCGGCCGGTCCTCTGCGCCATGCATGTGGCGAGATGCTGACCGTCTGCGAGCAGGAGCTCCACCTGCTGGACCGGGCGCTGGACTCGCTCGGGGCGCTGCTGGCCGCGCGCGAGGCCATGCCCTTGCCGCTGCTCTCGGCTGCCTCGTTGGCCGGCGGAGCTGGCCCCGGATCCGGGCCCGCCCGGCGGGCAGTTGTCTTCCCACCGCCACTGTGTGGGCCCACGCCGGCGGCCTTCGGGTATGTGGCCCCCTCTGGGGCCTTTGTGGCGGCGCTGGTGGCGACGCACGAAGAGGAAGAGCCGGCCGCCGTGGCGGCCACCGCCATGACAGCCGCCGCGGCACCGGGCTCGCCGACTCCCGGCGGGCGCCCAGCCAACGCGGACGCGCGGACCCCGGGCACCCCGCACCATCCGCACCATCCGCAGCATCTGCACCACTCGCACGGCGGAGCCTGGACACCGGTGCACGGGAGCCACCGGCCCGCGTCGCCGGCCAGCGCCGGCACCGGCTCCGCCGTGGACCCCACCAACAAGACGTGGATTTTGGCCCGGGTGTCGCGCTATGACCCGGCCGCCCGGCGGTATTCCGTTGTGGACATGGACTCGCCGGCGGGGGCCGACCCGGCCGGTGCCCTGTCCGGAGGCCCTGGCGCCGGGGCCGCGTCCTCCACATATGTCGTTCCGCCGGCGTGCATCATCCCCCTGCCGACATCTCTGCCGGACCCGCGGCTGGACCTGGAGGCCGAGCGCCGCGCGGCCCCGGACGGGCTGGCCTTCCTGCCGATGGAATTCCCGGTTGGCGCCCGAGTCCTTGGTCTCTACCCGGACACCACGTGCTTCTATGCCGGGACCGTGGTCGAGCCGCCGAGCTCCCGGACCAAGGTCACCCTCTCGGATGTGGTTCCCGGCGGGGATGGCGTCCAGTCGGTTCCCAGCTACCTCATTGAGTATGACCATGATGACCCGCCGCTGAAGGAGTGCGCCGCGCGCTATGTCATCTCCCTGCCGCCGGAGTCGGATGAGCTTCGCCCGGGGGGCGCCTCGCCGGCCAGCGGCGATTCCTCGCCCGGGCCGAAGGCCCCATCCGGCGCGTCCTCCTCCTCCTCCTCCTCTTCCTCTTCCTCTTCCTCCTCGTCGTCGTCGTCGGGATCCGGGCACACTGGCCGGGGGATGCTCTCGTCCCCGGGCCCCCCCGAGCGGACCAGCGCGCGCGGGTCCGGTCGCGGCGCCGGGCACGGCTTCCAGCTTTCGACACATGCGCCGTGGGACGGCGGGACACCAATGTGTGCCAGCCCCGGAGGGGCGGCATCTTCCAGCCAGGCACCCGGGTCAGGCTTCGGCGGTCCGGCCGGTGTCCGGGGCTCGCGCAACCGCGCGTCCTCTTCGGGTGCCATGGAGGCGGACCTTCCGCCGGCCAAGCGCGGGCACAGCGTTCCGCGCGTCACCGGGCCCCCGCCTCCGAACCCCGGGCGCCGGTACCACCCTGACCCTGGGGTCTTCCCTGCGCCGGCCGAGTCGGCCCTGCTTGGTACGTGCAGATCCTCCGCCGGCCTGCTTGGCCGCGCCCGCCTCGCCGGACACGCTGCCATGTGCATCGATCACCTGCCCCACTTTCCCATCATGTCCCCGCGTTGCGCCTGGAAACGACACTCACTCACACACTTGCATGCATACATATATATATACACACGCGCAGGCAAACCCTCAAGGTCGATATTGGCGGGTTCCGGCCCAGATGCATCCCACGCCCCCGCTCTAAGCGCGGTCCCCGGGATCCCGGCCACTGGATCCGAGCCGAGCCGCGTGCGACATGGTGTTGTCCGTCGGCGGAAGGAGTTTTGATCCTTGGCCCGTCCCCCCCGCCTGCCTCCAGGGCTCCTTTGCCTGCCCCCCGCCCCCCCCCCCCTCGCCCTCGCCCTCCTTCTCCATGGACAGGTGAATACACACACACACATGCATACAAATGAAAATAGGCCCAGCAGAGGGGAGAGATTGGTCTATGGAGGGGCTCGCAGGCGCAAAGGAACACACAGGCGGCGCAAGAAAAGTGTGAATGTGCCCGTGCGCTTGAGGTGTGCGCGTGCATGCGTGTGGATGTGTGAGTGCCGATGCGTGCCTGGTGCTTCAGGCCGAGTTGCGCTTCCTGCTCTGCGGCAGGACCTCAATGTCATCGGACACCGTGAGCTTGCTCCGGATGCGCCACTTGCGGTCCTGCGTCAGGCAAGACTCGATGGCTAGGTAATCCACCACATGGACCACCGGCGGGGCCACCAGGCCGTCCGGCAGGATGGGCTTCCCGTCCGGACCGAGGGTCACCGGCTGCGTGGACTTCAGCACCGACTGCAGGCGCGACACACGGACAATGGCCTGGGCAAACTTGGTCCCAACCGAGTCGGGAATCTCGAGGTAGTTCAGCGACACAATCCGCGGCGGGTCCACCCGGCCACCATCGATCCAGGTGAAGTGGAACTTCTGCCCCAGCCGGGGGCCATGGTGCTGACGGATCTGCTCCTTGAGCCCGCTCAGCATGTCCGCAGTCAGGTGCTGCTCGAGGCCGGTGGTGTCGCCGCTGGCGAAGGCCCGGTTCAGGGCCACATACTGCGACTCGGTGTCCAGGGCAATTTCCCGAGCCTTGAAAGACTCGAGCTCGCCCTTGGTCTTTGCGACGCTGAGGAAGTCACATGGGGAGACAGAGAGAGAGGAGCGAGCGAGCGAGTTCAGGGGCAAGGGGAGGCGGGCAAGGCGAGCAGGAAGGTGTAAAGGAGGGAGGGGAGGAGTTAGGCCCGGGGGACCCGACAGGCAGGGGGAGAGGCGGAGGGCAGAGGAAGAGCAGAGGCAAGTGTGTGTGTGTGTGTGTGTGTGTGCGTGTGTGTGTGTCTATGAAACGCACAAGTAGGTGGTGGAAATGTACTTCCGAATGTTCTCGTAACGCTGCATGAGTCCCTTCTTGGTGTAGATGGGGCTCAGGGCGGACTTGTGCACCGGGATGCGCGGCTGGATCAGCACCGGCAAGCTGCCCTTCTTCATCAGCGTGTCGATTTGACGCAGGGAAGAGTAAGAGCGCACACCGTCGGCCGGAGCAGCCAGGGCGGCGAGGGCCACAGGGGTGGGCCGCAAAGCGGCCGCCACCAGGACCGGACGCACAAGGGGCGACAGGCGCAGGGCCGAGGAGATCATGGTGTTCTTTCGAGGGGAAGGGACAGCAAGGGACGGGGCAAGAAGCAAGACAGGAAGAGGTGGTGGAGTTTAGGCATGGCCTGGCATCGCCGGGATGCCCCTTCGCGCCGCTCGCTCTTTGCGCGATCTTGACCGCCACGCGAATTTGCCGCGATCGGGGCAAAGGGCCACGCCCGGCCTGTCCCGCCCGCCCTCTCTTCCCTCGTCTCGCCTCTCCGTGGCAGCGTACGCACGTCCACACACACACACACACACACACACACACACACACACACACACACACACACACACACACACACACACACACACACACACACACACACGCACACGTACGCACACACACGCATCGACACCAACAGGGCGGACGCGCACACGCACACGCACACGCACACGCACACGCCTCCACCGGCTGTGCGGAAACGTGAGCGGCCACCTCTCTGTGAGCTACCACCTGAAGCGCCTGGAGAATCCTGGTTGAAACACCGAACCGACGCGGATTTAGGAAATGCCCCCACCGAAGGACAAGGAGCGCGCCCTGCAGTAGCCATTCGGCAAACGGCCTTCCGTTGGCATTCGAGATAGATGATCGGTCAACCGTGTATTATATGCCTGTCCAATTAGGGAAACACCGCCTGCCCCCAGCCCGCACTCCCCTGTGCTCCCCTGCTCTCAATAGACTATGCCTAGTGAGGACACACGTGTGGGAGGAGGGGGAGGGACGATGAAAGTATCAATGCACAAACAGAGAGGAGATCGCGGGAATAGAAACGGAGAGAGAGAGAGAGGAAGGGAGAGGGAGGAGGCAAGAAAATGCCTGAATCTCCCCCCCCCCCCCCACACCCCGTTCTCGCTTCATCCATGATCATCAGTTGTCGGCAGCCTTTCCGGAATGATGGAAGTCCAGCAGCCGGGCCAGGAGGTCCTGATGGTCGAAGGCCAGACGAAGACGCTCGCCCTCCGGCAGGTCGCCGATGCCACTGCCGAGAATTCGCGCGACCGGGATCCACTGGGCCTTGGCCGCGTCATCGCCAGCCACCGGGGCCTTCTCGGTCGGGCCGAGGTCAATCCCGTAGAAGAGGGTGACCGTGTGTCGACGGGGGTCGCGATCGGGAGCGCCAGCGGCCGCAAGCAGCCGCGGCTCCGCGGCGCCCGCGTCCGGTACGATGCCGCACTCCTCCTCGAGCTCGCGAAGGACGGCGCGCTGGAGACAGAGGAGGGAGCCGCGCGGCGCCCAAGGGGAGGGGCGGGGGAGGGGCGAAAAGAAGGTCACGTCAGAGGGTGGCCAAGGGAGAGATCTGGCGGCAGGTCGGCGAGCGACACCGTCTCAGCAGGAGCCAGTACCTCCGGCGCTTCGCCATAATCAAGGAACCCGCCAGGGAAGGCCCAGCAGCCCTTGAAGGGGGGATTGGCACGCTCAATCAGCAGCACCTCCAGACGGTCAGCCGGCAAAGAGGCCGCCTCGTTCTGTCGCAGGACACCGGCATCCACAGTCAGCGAGGGGGTGCGCCACTGCTTGCAGGTGGGGCAGGGCCAGGGATGGTCGGAGTTGCATGTGGAGCTCATGACGGCCAGGGGGGCAAGGGAGGGGCGGCGGGAGGAACGAAGGGCGGGGAGGGATCGAGACAGCCAGGTGCCTCGTGTAAGTAGCATCAGAGGGTGCAAGAGGGGGGGGGGGGGGGGGGGGGGGGGGGGGGGGGGGGGGGGGGG